TAATGCTGAGGGTTTAAGTGGAGAGGAAATGTTTTGAGAATGATGAGGGCAATGAATGTACAAATGCGCTTTACACAATTGATGTGTATATGGATTGTGATAAGTTGTATGAGCCCCTAATAAAATGATTTAAAAAATACTTAGATTGTTCTGTAACCTTATTTCTTAACATTATTCCTTTTAAAAGGAAGCGTAACACTATTTGAAGGGTCTCCCATTCTACTGCAATTAACTTTGACGTACTTCAGTTGTCTCCCCTAGCAATGTGCCCCCTTGTTGTTCACTATACTTCTACACGAGCCTGTTTTCAGTTCATCAGATTCCTTAAACTCTTTTCACACTTCTCATCCTCACAAGCTATTCTCTCATTGTGAAGCACTGCTACCTTTAATCTTTGAAGGAAAACAATGTAGAGTGGACAGTTAAATGGTTTGTACTGCATTCACAACCATAACCTCAGTCGATTTTAAAGCATTTCATTTATTAAACAAACACAAAATATACCTCATTTCCTCATTATCTAGCCCGCATCCCTCTATTCTCTACTGAATGAACTCTGATGGCACAGGTTAAATGAAAGGCTGCTAAGGAAAAGATCAGATTGGCTTTGCCAAGAACCAGAAAGTGCACACAGTATGGTTGGGGTGAGAGAAGAGTGTGGCATGAAGTTAAGTTTGGAGAAAGTTGAGGAAATGAAGTAACAGTAACAATGTAATGGATTAGTGCAAATGCAATAAGAAATGCAGGCACAGATTATTTTAAGAAAGAACCATCAAGTACAATAAAGACAATATTATGCTTAATGGATTTGTGGAACTGGCACCTATGTGAAAGCCCCAGAGAAACAACAACAAAGCTCAGAACAGTGGATGGAGGAATGAATGGCAGTTGCAGAAGTACAAGAGGGGAGTACAAAAATGAGAAAAAAACCTGACTGTGAAGGAAAGAAAATAAAAGTAAGGCTGTAGTACGGTCTTCTGGTTCTTTGTTCTTTCATTTAAGATGCACAAAATTTGAGCATAATTGTATGTTGCAGTTCTGGTTTAAAAAAAGAAAAACCTGCCATAGTGTTGCTTCCTACTCATGGTAGGTTATACAGGGGCAACTAACCACAAAGTTGGCAGTTGGAAACCACGGTCACACCTTGGGAGAACGAGGCTCTCTTTTCCCCTGTAAAGATTTACGATCTTGAAAACCACAGGGACAGTTCTACTCTGTCCTCGAGGGTTGCTATGCGTATAGCTGCAGTTGGTTGCTATCAAACTGATTCCGAGTTATGGTAACACTATGTACAGAGTAGAACTGCTCTATCAGGTATCCAAGATTGTGCCCTTTCAGAAATTCTGGACCTGTTCCAACCCAGGGCTCTGGCTGTTTATATGTAGAAGGAAGAAAAACTTGAAAATACAGAAAAGGGATAAGTGATGGAGCAAAGTTCTAAAGCAGGTGAAGGAGATGGGGTCAGGGTCTGAGTTAGATATGAGGAAGAAATAGTCACCTGTCTAAGGGATGAAAAGGTTTGCAGAGACGTCTCAAAAACTGCCATTGTGTGAATTCTGACTCATAGTGACCCTACTAGGGTAGTACTGCCCTTGTGAGTTTCTGAGACATTAACTCTTTAAGCAAGCAGAACGCTTCATTTTCACGCTCAGAGCAGCCAGTGGTTTCAAACCACTAAGCATACCAATGCCACGGAGGCTCCTGGTTTGCTAAAGGGAAGGTGGAAGGAACCATGCAGGTACCCTTCATCATAGAGCTGGACACAGTGGGAAAAGTGGGGCTTGGCTACAACAGCATCTGCAGAGGCAAGAGTCTTCATGGTCAATTTTCTCCACAGGGCTCAGCAGCTTGGTAGAGGACTGAGAGCAAACAGCCAAGTGTACTCTAGCATCATTTGGCTAGATGTACATTAAAATGTTTTCAACTTTTAATAAATTTTGCTCTCTATTATAATTGTTCATTTTGTAATTGTTCATTTTCCTGCCTATCATTTTGACTAAAATGATAAGACTGGTGATTTCATATTGATATTGGTCTTTTCAGTGCCCAGCACATGTAGGAACTCAAAAAATACAAGCTTAAAGAAAAAAGTCATAAAAATTTAAATGCTGCAATATAATTCAAGAAAACCATATGCTTCTCCATCAGCTCACTTTAAGTCTAGGACCTCATAAAGACTAAGCTTACTACTGCAGTCAGATGATGTGTAGAACCACAACTTAACAGATTAAGATACACCCTTTAATTAGTCTCTAGGTTTAACAAAACAGATCATTAAAAGTAATGTTGCTTTATTTCATAGCAGTCTTAACTCCCTACTTTTAAATGAAAATGCAGCTAACAGCTAGCCAATTGCTTTTAACTCAGAAAATCTAGATATTTACATTCCACTTAAAACAAAAGCTATTTCCATTTCACCCAAGCTAAAACCCATTAACAGTCTAGTATAGTGATTAGTAGTTTAAACTGACAAATATAGTCAAGTCCATGATCTGAAATGTAACTCCCTAATTTACAATAAAAAATTGTAAAAACAGAAAATTGGAAAAAGAAAGCAAAACAAAAGCTGTTTACCTCCAAAGTGTAAGCACTGCTTTAAGTTATGATTTCCAAACAACTTCATACCTATCCATCAACCTCAATTTCTCATCTTTTGAATCACACACAACCAATTACCACCTGCCGATCCAGTCTAATTACATTCCATTTGTCATACACTGCCCTACACACAACTCAACAACTGGTTTGGGGCTGGGCAACCACATTGACCTGAGGACGGTGGTGCACCGACCTTCCAAGATGGGCAAGGCCCACAGCTAAACGCGAGGTTGCATGGAGCCAAGAAACTCCAAGAAGTGAGACCTCATCCTTCGACTGCAGTACTGAAGGATCTGGAAGAGATTCGTAGTATAGTCCAAACCCGATACAAAGTAATAGAAATCGCAAAGGGGAAATGAAAAGGCGGATTCATTTCAAGAAAATGCTCTCCATTTAGAAAGGGCGGCCCACTACAAGGACAACAACCCCCTAGCTCCAACATATTTTTTCTCCACGGAAGAAACGCATGGAAACGTAACCGGTTTCTATAGGCTTGGACACCGAGGGGTACCTGGAGGAACATAGATACAGTGACAGAAGGGAAAGGGGGGGAGGGGGCTTTCTTTTCAACTACCTGTGTCAAGAAGAGCAGCAAGGTGGTTGGAGGTGGGGGAGGTGGAGTCTGTTTTATTTGGGGTAGGGAAGGGAGTCTTCACTTCTAAAGAACAGGCCAATCCGCTTTGGGGCGATTCAGCAGATAAGGACTCCTGGTAGCGCAGCGGTTAAAGGAGTCTGCTACTAACTGTAAGGTTGGTGGTTCAAACTCACCAGCCAATCAGCGGGAGAAAGAGTGGCAGTTGGCATCTCTAAAGCCATCAAGCCTTAGAAGCCCTAAGGGTCAGTTCCACTCTGCCCTCCAGCGTCTCTGAGAGTCGCTCCCCGGCAGTGGGTTTGCTGTGTGGTGTCAAGCAGATGGCAGGCGAGAGTCCATGACCCAGAAAGTCTAGGGCGAGGAGCAGAAGGGGAAAATGGGGTCTGGAAAGAAAAGGAAGGGGTGACTGTCTCCGGTCCAGCTGTTTGGAGTGAAATCCAAGTCGCCACCTCCGGCAGCCGCCTGCGGCGCCCCCACCCCTTTCGGCGAACTCCCCGACATCCTCCCGCCCCCAAAGCCACGGAACACCCGCGGAGCCCGCCCGCCGGGGCCACCGGCACGGCCGCGGGCGGGGAATCCGGTCGTTATCGCGGCGTCGCGGCCCCGCCCCCTATCAGCGCCCCCACTCACCCAGATTATGAGGCTGTCACACAGC